GCACAGCACAGCACAGCACAGCAATATAATCATTGAGACAATTTTATCTGTTTCCAAAATCATAGGTCGAGACAACAAAAAATGGCAAAAAGATTGCAACATTCTTGATTACAAGCGGCGGTCTGTTCAAACTGGTCAGACGTTTTCCAAACAAACACATGCACTTTATCGAGCAAGTCTCCTCTCGCATCTCCCGTGAGCTGTGCACAGCAACCTCGCCCGACGTCCTGGTGACGCCATTACTCAAAGGCTTCATCACCGAGATAGCTGAACCAGGAAAGCAGTTTGTACTTCGAATATCTCTTCTCGATTCTTCACAGGCCTGCAACCCAGATAGTTGCTTTGTCTACGAAGTTTGTTCCCAGCCTCTCACGGTACCGTTAGGCAAAGTTCGTATTTTAGTTCGCGGGAGATTTGAACCTGACCGAGACGCCGCTGACCACTCGGAAGAGAGGACCACCATGTTCCTTGGTAAAACCACCTTTGTGGATTTTAACTTGAAACTGAGGCTCAGTGATCCGACTAAGCTCCCAGAGACTATTGGGAAGGTTACGATCCATTCTACCGCTGACATGCAGTATTGCGTCACTCTACAAAAGCCTACTCCCGTGAGTATTGCTCCACTAGCTTTTACTGGTGGGAGGTCTGTGCGACCATTAAGATTCGACGACTACAGACTACAGAATAAGCACTACATGTTTCTTCTGTCGGTCTTAAATATAGCCATAAGACATACGTTGTCAATACTACGTAAAACGTTTTGACTTCTTACCAAAGCAATTGGGGTAAGAAAATAAACTGCTAGGAGCATGCGCAGAAATACTCGACCCAGTCTATTCGGCGAAATTTTTGTAGTTTGTAGTCGTCGAGTCTTAAATTAGGTGTTGAGTGCGACAGGTCGTGGTGATACTTTGGCCAATGGATCCAAATTGGCGGCTAAGGAAATTTTAAATAACATATATATTTCCTTTGACATGGATTATAGAGTAACTTCACGGAAACGATGTTGTAGGGAAGGACGATAGGCCCTTTTATCTTGGACGAATTGTTTTCTCATTTAATTGTCATTTCAGTCGGCATGAAGTGGTTTCTTTGTTTAATGGTTGTGCATCAGAAGATGAATGAATATGGATGAATACTGTAGTAACTCCAACAAAGCTTTACTCGAGAGAATAACATGTTGTCTGAAATAGGAAAAAATTACGCCCAAGTCCAATTAAAATGATCTTTTAGGGAAAATCGTGAAGTATCTAATCTTGCAAAAACATTTCATCATGCTAGCGCTCTGCCATGAAATCACTCTATTCACCATGTATATCGTGGTTTACTTTTTCGTAAACATTTCTTTAGATCGCCAAAGAACTCCATTGTAAACTTGGAGGAGATAGACGCAAGTCACGTGATTTACGACAGAAGAAGCCACTCCTTCGAAGGCATACTGTCTCATCTCTCGGTAGTAGCCACGTGATCAATTCTTTGCCAGGTATTGTAGCAGTGCTGCTTGACGAAGGGAGATCCTGCGTAGCAAGCATTTGAGTGTAATATAATGTATCTATAAAAATACAATGCATCACAACTAATACAATAAATAGAACGACAATAGAATACAATAAGATTTTCTGAAAACATTACATCAACTGATTGCTATGTAGGTTCTCCCGCTTCGCGATCGCATGATGAAACATCATTAGCTGAAAATTGTGCAGAGCGGTGTTGTACAAGCTTACGCAAGGGAGGTTACATAGAGCAATTTGTCGTGTAACTTGCCTCGTGACATGAGGTTCAGTTGCACAGCAGAAAGTGGCGATAAATTTTTTTGTTTGATAATTTTCTCGCCAAAAAACTTTGATATGTTCCAGAGTCCCGCGCTCACGAGGATTTTGGTGTCAAACGGAGGCGGCAAGTGTCTTCTTCGTTTGCTGGTGTTCCAAGGTTAACAGCGATAGGAGATGAGAAAGAAGAAGGAGAAGAAGAAGAAGAAGAAGAAGAAGAAGAAGAAGAAAAAGACGAAGTAGAAGAAAAAGAACGAGATGGAAAAGAAGAAGAAGAAGAGGAAGTGGAGGAAGAAGACGAAGAAGGAGATATTTCCATAAGTGGACAAAGTACCACCAGTTACAGTTCGTTTGGCGGGAATTCCTTGTCTTTGTATGATAAACCAGAGCAAAAAGAAAACGAAACTTCTAATCAAGATTATACAGACGAAAAAATAAATATGGCGGGCGACGGCTCTAAGCATGACAAAGATCTTGACAGAAGGGATTCTTCGACATACAGTGACATTAAAGAAGAGAGTACTATGAGTAGTTCTACTGCGTCTATATCACGAGGTAAAGAAAGTCAGCTTTCTTTAAGGTCAGAGCGAGAAGATGAGAAATATGAAGATAGTGATTGGTCAAACGATAATGACGTCACAAGAGAAGAAACTGATCAGGGGTCAAGGTCATCGATAAGTTTGAAATACGAGGCTGCTGAAGAAGAGAATGTGGTAGGCGAGGAACGATGTAAAGATGAAAAGAAATTCGAAGAGAATCACAAAAGAGAAAGTATTAGCAAGGCGCCGGCATCTATGGAACTTGAAAAAGACTACACAGTTGAAGATCAGAACAGTGAAATAACTAATGAGGAACTTCAGGTAAACAGCAATGACTATACGAACAGCATCGACGAAAGAGAAACAGATGAAAATGAAATCCCGTCGAGCAAAATCAGCGAAACTTCAGCATTAAAAGATCAAGGTCAAGAGAAAACGTCATATTCTACTAGTTTTGAAAGCTCAGTTAGTGTTGAGAGTAGGAGAAAAGAGAGCCATGATAAAAACAAAAAGTCACACTCTAGTTTTGAAAGCTCAGTTAGCGTTGGTGAGAGCCATGATAAAGATGAAAACAAGATGGTTGCCAGTAGGCCAAGCTACAGCAGTTTGACTTCAGACTATTTCTGTTCATAGTCAATTGGAAGTCAAAGATAACAGGTTCGTTGCCAGCTAATAAAATGTTTGGTCTTCCTGTGTTCATCCACTCAAATAAATATTGGTTAATAGCTTAGTTATGTATTGGGGGTATAGCTCAGTGGTAGAGCATTCGACTGCAGATCGAGAGGTCACCGGTTCAATCCCGGTTGCCCCCTATTTTTTTACGGAAAATAGAGTACAAAAATATGGATTGATGACCTCGAAAGCAAGACCATTATATTTGCTCTCTTGCGCTTATATACGTTGATAGACGTTATTCAAATTACCGCTGTGTTCATTGATTTCAGACTCAGGTTGTTAGCCTTATTTCAGCTTCAAAATATTCACAAATACCAACGGAAAAGGTAATACATGTTGCTTTTTAGAAGTTTTGCACTATCACGTGCTCATGCCCATAATAAAGCTTGGGCTGCCTGTGACTGGATGGAAGAAGAATAAAATCCCTTTGCTTTTTGGAATTGAATTCTTTATTATGTAAAGCGATTGCGTCGTTCCTGCCATCTAACATGGCTGCCATCACGTGACGGTGCAAAGCCTCTATTAGAAGTTTTTTCCCCGGTTTTACTCCCTTCACAAAACCTAAAATGTTAAATCAACAAAGTTGCTTTTGGGTACAACTCTCAAATCTCTATTCTGGTTTTGGGTCTTAAATTTGAAAGTTTTTCTTTATATTTTTTATTAACAAGCAAATAGATATAGCATAGTTTTCCCAATTTACTTGCGCGCGAAAATTTTATTTTTTATTTTATAATCTCAAGAATCGAAATTTAAAATTAAGAATAAAATGATAAAAATTATAGGGGGCAATCGGGATTGAACCGATGACCTCTCGATCTGCAGTCGAATGCTCTACCACTGAGCTATACCCCCAACAGATGGTAAATGTAGTTTCAGTTTGGCTATTTATTACGTGGCAATTTGTCAGTTCAAAAGACCACAAATATTGATTTATTATCATGAATATTCATTCTTACCTAAACAAGAAATTAAAAAACCTTTCTGGCTCCTAAAAGTAAAAAAATGCCAAACTTTCTCATATACTCACTGATATAAAAAGAACAGTTGATTTAAAAACTTGTATATATGTATATATATTTCATTATTAATAAAACATGAGAAAGCAGGTGACTGGCTCTGCTAGTGCAAATTTAATGCATTCTTTTTTATTTGTTTAGCTTCGTATTTTGTCTTCGTTTTGAGATCAAATAACCGCTTAAACAAACGTAGTTATTGTTAACAAACACATATGTATTCTAGTTTTGAATCTCTGGCCCTTAAAATATTGAAAATCTTTAGAAATATGAAAATATAAAGAAAGCAAGAAGACAGAATGGACTTGAACTTCGAGTCAATAATTTGAGTTTTTCGTGTCTAATCTGCGATTTCTTTCTTCTTTCCTTATATTTGCATATATTTTCACACATGATATGCGATAAAAAAGTTATATTACCTACTATTTTAGAGTTTATTCAAAATATTATTTAATTTTTTGAGAAAAAGAATTACCAATACATTATTCATAGTATATCTCTTTTACTAGTCTGTTACTAGGATACCTAGACCACACGACAGGCTATTTTTCATTTTAAAAGCCGACATATCAAGTTTAGGGATTAAAATTTAAAATATCAGTTTCTTTCGGAAGATAAGTTTTCTCTGCGCCATGTTTGCCATTTTTAAGCGTTTTATTTATCATCATCATCATTTTTTATATTGAAAATTTAAATACAAAATGCAAAGTTAATTCAATCAAAGATATAGTTTGCGATTTTGATACCTCTCTTTTGCGCACGCGCGAAAATGATGTAATAGTGACGTAACGTTTTACATTGTGACGCGCGCGAAAATACAAAGAATATAATAAGATGTAAAATTCCAGTGAAAAAATGGGTCAGGTCTGTTGTTGTACGATTGAAACGGTTGAAATTCCATTCTATCCGTTTCATGAGCGCGTGCATATCTTGAGGAAGATTGAAGACAATCTTGAGAGAGGATACCACGATGATGCCAAATATTTAGTGACTCAGGTAAGTTTCTTTAAGAATCTAAAAACTGTTTGGACGTAGTTATGTTCTAACAAAACCACTTATCAAAAGGTGGTGCATTCACCTCTCACCTGTGGGGTCTCGAGTTCCATTCCTGTTTAATGTTCAATCTGGGAGTTAGCCTTGTCCTGACTTAGACCAGCTCAGACATTGTTTCAGGGTTCAATCTGAGTGTTGAAAATGCCGTTCCTAACCATTCTAAACTTCACTGAACATTTTAACCTATGAAAAGTGAGCATATCAACTTTCACAGAAACCACCAATACCTATGAAAACCAATAGTTAAAACCTCATTCTGAAAAACAAATCTCCTTTAGGTAACTAAGATCATTGGAATTGTACTTTCTCTTGTTTTTGTTCCATAGCTATGCAAAAATTTACAAGTAACAAGAGAAACAAAGCTGATTTCAAACTTAGGATTGGTGGATCTGTTACAATTACCAGATTTCCTGGTCGACAGACAGGCACACGACTTTTTACGAAGGTATTTGAACAGTTGTTGACTTTGTTCTCTTTTTTTCCTCCTCCTGCTTCTTTTCCTTCTTCTTTTTCTTCTTCGTCTTCTTCTTCTTCTTCTTCTTCCGTTTCTTTTTGTCCCTGGTCCTTTTTCTCTTGTTTCTCTTACATCGCTTCGTTCTCAGTCTTCCAGTGATCGTATTCATAGCTGCATCAATATTACATCCAAGCAATAATCATTTTGGTACATGTTCTTCTCTTCTCTTCAATATCATACTAATTACAAAATTCCAACCTTTATAGGCTGCAAGAAGCACTTTCTGACAAGAACATCCGCCATGCCGTCCACGTGTGCAAACACCTCATCTCTTACTTTAACTTCAAAATTACCAAAGATAACGAACACGACATCGATCGTGTGAACCGCAAAAGCCTCGCTTCAAAGAACCGTCATGAGGTCCGAATAACAGGCGTAAACTTGGCATACGAGAAAAACTTTAAACTAATTAAAGCTATGATATCAAGGAATCCTAAATTACGTAAGATTACTATAAGTTTTTGTGGCCTGACTACCAATCAAGCTTACCAACTCCTGGTCTTATTATCTAAAGAAAAACACCTTTATTATATAGGTAAGTATGTATGTGTATACTGTGCTTGTTCGGTCTTGTATTTGGAATCAAGAGTGGTATAGAGGCCGAGCGAACTCGCTTCTCACCTCTGGGGTCTTATGTTCGATTTTTGTACTATAGGCATCTTATGTGAATCTGTCTATACATTTGACCGACTCGTTGGGTTTGACTACGACAATTAGTCCTCTCGCAATCGCCCTCAATAACCCATTCGGTCTCAAGGACCAATTGATACAGCCATTCTCAATCACAAGCGCCGTTCTAGCGATTGTTTCTTTCGCACCGAAGTAGCTTTTGGTGGATGTCAATCAAGGCGTTTCCATGACATTCTATAGGCACGTGCCCTTGTAGCTTTGTGTTTTCCGACAATGTTCTGGAAACGCCTTGTGATTGACGTCCACCAAGACCTTCTTCTTCGCAGCAGAAAAAAATCCCTAGAGGGCGCGTGTGATTGAGAATGGCTGTAAATAGCCCAGAGAGTGTTTCAGGATATAAACAGGTTACTAAATTTAGAAATACGATTTCCAAAGAAGTATAATATTCAAGGGAATGACAAGTGGTTTTAACAAAAGACTAAATTACACTCTTTTTTTTTTTGACTTTTTCTAACCAGGTTTCAGGGGAAACGAACTGACCAATAGATTTGTAAATATTCTACAAACGCTTCTCGAAGATTCCAAAAATTTCCCAGTTCTTTGTTGGGTTGAACTTAAAAATAACAATAGAATCAACTGGCTTCCAGAGGACCTCATGATCCTGTTGCGCAAGAGGTGGCGAAAGAGGTTCAGAGATAGTAAATTTTGTAAACACGATAAAGAAGATGCAAGTATGATGGCGGCAATAGAAGCGGTTGTACTACTGAATGAGAGGATCAAACGACATGCTCTTGAACAGAAGGACAATCCTGAACAACAGCAACAGACTACATGCTGAATAATTTATGTTTTATTACTATGATTATACATTATAAGGATTGTGATATTAAAGATACATTAACTAAATAATCTATAGTAGTAACGTTTTTAAAATATTCAAATTTCCTTTGGAGAGCTAAGTCTTTGATGTTTACGCTTATACCTGTTTTAAAAAAGGTTGTCCAATCCAAAGAGACGCGATATGTCCAGACTAGGATATCCAGGGCTATTCCAAGTGCCACTGCACGCTTATTATTGTTTTCTTTGGCTTTCACCAGCTTATGTGAATCTTTTTATAACGATACTTCTACCACTACTAATACTAAGTTGTTGCTTTAGCATTTGATGAAGACACTTTCGACTAATTATTTAGCAACTAAAAGTAGCCAGTTGAAGAATCTGTACTGAAACTGAAAATAATCCAAAAGTACTCCAGTGTTTTGACAAGTATCTATAAATGAAGAATTTAGAATTCGATATCGCTAAAGGGTAACATAAACCCTATGCTTATTGTATTTAAAATTACAAATGATTATTTTTAATCTTAATTTTTTTAAATTGCGTTTGGCAAATTCGCATGGAAAGCTTTACAAACATAACAAAACCCCCTCCCCCTCCCTCCATGGTAGAGGCAACAATTGCATAACTCCCCGTTACATCACCCTACAATAAATGTCAACTTCCCTCAATGCGTGATACCTCCCTGTCAAATTTCTCTAAATAACGTAACCCCATTATATAAATTTTCCAGCCTCCCATGCGCAAATAAATGAAAGCCCCCTTATCTCCCTCCACCCCCCACCCCCCTCCGACAAGCTTTTTTGAAACAGTTGTATAAGGACTAAGCTAAAAGCTCAATCTATCCTAATGCGTATTTAAGAAAGCTTGACAAATTCACTGTAATCAACCTCCCCATCGCCATCAGAATCCAACAATTCTACCAGTTTCTCAAGGTATTGATCTTTGATCACGTTAAGTCGTTTCATTCCTCCAACAAACTCTTCTCTTGTTAAACTGTCTCGAAACTGGCCATTGATATCTAACTGCTTAAACAAATCTGACGAATGAATCTTGTGTTCATGTAGATACTCCTTCAACAGATCTATCGGGTTAACTTCGCTCTTCTTAGACACAAAACTATCTTTCTTTTTACATCCAAATTCGATTTTTAACTCAACATCTTGCTTCAAACACGCTGTAATAAGTTCCTCGCATGATTTGTTGATTTGAATGTCGAGGATTTTTAGGTGTTGCAAAGCGCACCGCTTTTTCCGGATGCATTGTAATATACACTTGATTCCTTCACATCCTCCCCAGCCTGAATTATGACTCATATCAAGCACTTCCAACGTACTATTCCCATCCAAACCTTGACCAATGTTCATAACAGCTATATCACTTAATCTATTGTTACTGAGATTTAACTCAATTAAGGTATTGTTACGCTTGAATGAATCCGTAAGTTCCCCAGTCCCGTAGTCATCAAACCCGTTCCAAGACAGATCTAGTTTTTCCAGCACATCGTTATAGCGCAGACTCTGATTGATAGCTTCAGCACCCTTCCTTCTGATATTGTTCCAGCTAAGATTTAATTCTACTAATCCATTATTATAACTCAAAGCTGAGCCAAAATGCTGCCCAGAGATTTCCCCTAGTTTGTTATAACTCAGATTCAGGTATCTTAAAGATGTATTGTTCTCAACGGCATCTGACAAGATCTTCGAGTCCTTGTCAGTCAGTCCATTCCCCGACAAATCCAGTCGTTTGATCACAGTGTTTTCACTTAACGCTTCTGCAATCGCTCGAATCCCTTCTTTATTGATGTTATTGTTAGCTAGGTTCAGTTCTATCAGGGTCGAGTTTCGTTGCAAAACTTTCCCCATATACACCCCACCCCTTGGGCTAAGGTCATTGGATTCGATTTGTACCTTCAATGTAGTGTTGTTATTTACCAAAACAGAAGCAATAGCCTTCGCTCCGAGCTCTTTTAAATATCGATGGCTTATCTTAACCTCTTCCTGACCAATTGTTTTACTGAATCGCGATACTGGAGTCACGCCAAGCTTTTCACACACTTTCTCGTACAATTCATTATCCGTTTCTTTATTTAGTCCCAACTCGTCATCATCTTCAAGATCAGTATCCCAATGTGAGCTCGACACCGACATAGTCTCCATTAACTCATCTAGACTCTTTGTCTTCAAAGCTTTGATGGTTTGATCAGCTCTTTTGATTGAGCTTGATGCACTAGAACAAGGAGACCTTACAGCATGTGAGTGGGTTTTCTTATGGTCGTTCATTTTGTTTGATACCTCAGATCTCCGATTACTCACTGCACTAGTGCTGGTGCTTTTTCGTCGAGGCATTTTAATTCCGTCAATAATTCTCAGTGATAATTATTACTTGATATTAGTTCTTCTGTTTCGTTGACTGCGCGGGTTGTAGAAATCTAAACAAAAACAGAAAATATCAACAACGACAAAAATTGAACTCATTGGTTTAAAAAAAAAAAAAAAAAAAAAAAAAAAAAGGAAAAAACCGTGAAAACTACAAAATGGTGATGAAAGCTTTTTTCAAATTACTACAATATTTGATCATTTTTTTGCTCCAATTTTGCTTATAAATCAGTCCTGAGTGAAATGGGGCCTTGTGAGATGAAAGTTTCATAGATTTTGTCACTATTATCATAATTTTTACACATGTATGTACTTGTTGGATGTAATGAATGTTCTTGTTGAATTTCCCTCTAACGGATAGGTACACCGCTGACTGGTCTAAGTTATCGAACTGTATTCTCGTCGATTCTGACAGAATTTCCTATCGTTTCCATTCGTTTGTGGATCTTCAGAACAACAGAGGACCAACAAAGACCACTCAAAACCTCATGAACATCTAAGAATTTAACAGCTTTTCTTGAGATCTTAGTATACCGCTTACGAATGTCACTACACTGCAAGCTGACAACCACAGGCCGATAAAACGATTCGAAAATTTTTTTCAAAGCGTTAAGTATAAAAAGTTTTCAAACTTTTAAGCATGAATATGGGTATTACAGTAGTGCCCGGTGCTACGAAGAGTGAATAGCACTATCCAAAGAAAAAATCTTATCCAGTAGATAAATTTATTGGATAACAGCATCGACTTATCCACTGGATAAGAATCTATCCGTGGGATAGAGCTTTTCACTCTTCGTGCAACTGGGCCTTGATGTTCTTGCTACATGTGATCATTTACCTACTCACCGCTTTCTTTTCCTAGTCCTTTGTATTACAGCTTATCAGACTTAACGAAAAGCATAAGTTACAAAATATTTATATGACTTTGTCGTTTCATGGTTTCTTCCTGGCATAGTTTTGAACTCTTTGGTTCTAGTTTGCAGCCTTGCACGAGGCGAGCTAACGTCCAATTATAATAGTCTCTCTAATTCAAACATTACCGTTTGTTTCCATGGTGATACTATTTATTTTTAAGGGTTCTAACAATAATCACTTAATCTCTAATAATCTCCAGAGACATATTATATTTATCTTCTGAAGTTGATCTCATTAACATTGATAGCTAAATAAACGATTCAAATCTCTCAGTAAACATCAAAGATAAAAGTCACGATAGCGCATTGATACAGATGGAAACAGCATATCACTAGATTAAGATTAACGCCTTACTCTAAAGCAACATGTAAACAAACTATCCAATGCAGCGTTAATACCTTTATTGAGGCGAATAGGTGGCTCATGGTTGTTCACTTCGAAGCGTGATAGTAAGCCATTGTGTTCTTTGAGTACGTGCTAATGAGCTTTCTTTATCGGTTGGTTTTGTAAAATTCCATATCTCTTCTTAGCCATTTCAAGGTCGAGGAAAACTTGATCGAGTTGGCATTACGGTGCATTTTCCCCGTGTTAGATAACCTTCACCTTGTTTGGAGTCATTTTTACTTGTCAGATTTTTACTTAAGATTTTCTCATTTTTTTAACAACTCAATCCAATAATACTAGCGCTATTCTATATCCTATCATTTTCAAAAAAA